CCTCAGGGATCTGTGCCATGCTATTCAACCTGTTTAACGATATCGGGGAGGGCGTAAATATCCATGTTTCCGTGTTTGCTTATGATACTAAAATGGGGAGGGTAATAGACACGGAATTAGACACTATAACATTACAGGAGGACCTGGATAAAATAGGGGAGTGGGCAACTATATGGCAGATGAGGTTTAATGTCGATAAATGTAAAGTAATGCACTTTGGGGTTAAAAATAGGCAAGCAGGATACACATTAATGGGAACTCCACTAGGGAAGTCAGAAATGGAAAAAGATCTGGGGGTCATAGTAGACCACAGATTGAATAACAGCGTGCAATGTCAGGATGCTGCAAACAAAGTAGGTCTTGTATTAAAAAGGGAATGCACTGTAGAAACAAAGCGATAATTCTGCCACTTTATAGATCGCTAGTTCGACCTCATCTGGAGTATGCAGTTCAATTTTGGTCACCAATCCACAGAAAGGATGTCCTTGAGCTGGAAAGAGTCCAGAGAAGGGCAACTAAACTAAATAAGGGGATGGAGGACCAAAGCTATGAGACAAGGTTACTAAATTTTAACATGTTCACGCTGGAAGGAGATTAAGGGGGGAATATGATTCTGATGTACAAGATGTTCAACGGAGATAGCAACATCAGCAATAAACTTTTTACGGTAAACCACCAAATAAAGACTGGAGAATGAATGTATATGTTTAACCACTTGCCGTCCGCACGTTGTAAAAAAAACGGACGGACGGCATATTGTGTGGCCACCATTATTTTCCAGCACTGCCTTAACCCTCTTGGGCATGGAGTTGACAAGAGCTTCACAGGTTGCCACTGGAGTCCTCTTCCACTCCTCCATGACAACATCACAGAGCTGGTAGATGTTAGAGACCTTGCACTCCTCCACCATCCGTTTGAGGACGCCCCACAGATGCTCAATAGGGTTTAGGTCAGGAGACATGCTTGGCTTATCCATAACCTTTACCCTCAGTTTCTTTAGCAGGGATAGGCACGGGCCAAGGCTGTGGTGGACATTTTCCCAAGTACAGCCCTTAATGAAGGACACCAAGGTACATTTCAAACCATCAAAAAACACTCTGGGGGAATTTATCAAAACTGAAACAGACAAAATCTGGAGCAGCTGTGCACGGCAACCAATCAGCTTCTCTCTTCAGTTAAGTTAAGATTTGAAAATGAACGAGTGAAGCTGATTGGTTGCTGTGCACAGCTGCTCCAGATTTTGTCTGCTCCAGTTTTGATAAATCCCCTTCTCTGTCTAGTCTCTAGCCTTGTTCCACAAGTACTAGTAAGTAGGGCTGCAGCTAATGATTATTTTGAAATCGATTAGTTAGCCAATTATTAGGTCTATTTAGGCCTAAACCCTATTGAGCATCTGTGGTGCATCCTCAAACGGATGGTGGAGGAGCGCAAGGTCTCTCCACCAGCTCCGGGATGTCATCATGGAGGAGTGGAAGAGGACTCCATTAGCAACCTGTGAAGCTCTGGTGAACTCCATGCCCAAGAGGGTTAAGGCAGTGCTGGAAAATAATGATGGCCACACAAAATATTGACACTTTGGGCCCAATTTGGACATTTTCACTTAGGGGTGTACTCACTTTTGTTGCCAGCGGTTTAGACATTAATGGCTGTGTGTTGAATTACTTTGAGGGGACAGCAAATGTACACGGATATACAAGCTGTACACTCACTACTTTACATTGTAGCAAAATGTAATTTCTTCTGTGTCGTCACATTAAATTATATAATAAAATATTTACAAAAATGTGAGGGGTGTACTGACTTCTGTGAGATACTGTGTATTTATTTGTTTATATGTAATATTTAGGCACTTTACTGTATATGCACTTTGTGTGCACCTCATAACAAGGTTTTGAGCGCTGTACATTTATATTAATGATTTATATAACTCTGGCATATACCTCAGTGCTGTACAAAGAACACTGAGCCAGTCAAATCAGTCTCTGTACAGAGGCGCTTACGCTTTAATGCAGAATGGCACTGGCTGTAGGGACACTATAAATCCCAGCAATACATTATACAGCAATGCAGAACAGTATATGAATTCTGGACTTAGCAACGCACTGGACACTCGATCCACCTGAGGCCCCGCAGAGCCCACCACAGATCCTGCAAGCCAACGGAGACTTTCTATGGTGGGCTGGTTGTGGGCCCTTTCCCTGCAGCTCCTTATCTGCCGCCACCGGGCTTCTTCCACCACTGGAATGTTGTTACAAGGGCCCGGCCTATTCCTCCAGCGGGACCAGCGCTGTTGGGCCCCGGCCTCCTCCCCTGTCAGTGGGCCCCCTCAGCCCTGGGGCGGCCACACTGGCTGCACAGCTGGTAGTTCAGAGACTCCCGGTTCACCTGTGTCCCGTCCCATTCTAGCTACCTGCCCTCATTCTCTGGGGTGAATTTGCCACTGCTGCCCTGATTCCTTACCTCATGTTGCATGTCCAGCTGGCTGCTGTTTGTCCCGGCTCTCTCTCCTCCTGCTCTCGTTGCTGCTGGGGCTGCACTGCTACTCATAATAAAGCCAGACTGGGCTGTGGCTGGAGCTGAGTCCCAGCAGGGAATGTGGAGTGAAGTCTAGGTGGGGGAGCGCTCTGAACCCACAGACAAAAGGTGTTTTTATCTGTCCTCCCACAGCGCCAGCCCTGTCTACCCCTGCTTTAGGCGAGTTAGGTGGCTGCAAGGCCTCCTTGAGCGCGAGAATGTAGGCGACCGCCTAACTCGCCTAATTAAAGAGCCGCCACTGAGGAGGATGTACACCTACACTGGAAATAGAATCATCTATAGTATCCTCTACTACATGATGATTCTATTTCTGGTGTAGGTAAATATGATGCATGAGATGCCAGGGAGATGGACACTGATCACTGACTGGCAGGAAGAAAGCGGAAGAGGTTTGGGATGGAGGAGTTTACACCTCTATATAACATCAAGGTTGTTAGGTGATGATGGATGCTGATTAACTAGAGGAGTGGGAGGAGCTGGGGTGGACCTTATGATAAGGAGATGTGATATCTTGATTTATAAATAAAGTGGTGGTTGATGCAGCAAGTAGCGCTCTTGAAAGTGATTGGTGAAATGTGTCAGACAGAGCCTGCTAACATCACTTCCACAAAGAACAATTTTATGACTTGGATGTCCTGTTGCTCCTGTTGGAGTAAATCAATGTCTTCTTATAAAAGCAGATATGTATCCAAAAAGGATAGAGAGATAATACATATCTCTCGTTATGCAGACTCCGCTTCGCTAATGAGTAAAGACGTCCGCTGGCAATAAGCCCAGTGCATTGCGCTTGATACTCGCAAACGCGTACACACACTGCGAACACGTCTCCAAGCCCATAAGAAGGTTTTCATACTGACAGTTTTACCGCTGGCCCTGACTCAACCCAAGTACGCTCTGCCGGAGTGTCCCTTGGTTGAATCCGACCCAGGGAGACAGATGACAACCTATAGAACACACACATCCTAATATAAAAATGCCCACATAAGTCCATGTAATAAAATTTCCACATCTCATGGTAATAGGTTACCACGTGATGTGGTATGATACAATACAAAACACAAACATTTCCCATCATACTTACCAGAAAAAAAAGAAAAAAAAACTTAACAGGGTTTTAGTTGTAAAACTTTTGCAAAATATGTAAAAGCCACACTGTCACCTTTGTCACCACCTTTGTGGTCCTAACGTTCGTCAATGTGGTCCTAACGCTAATCTATGAGAACCTCCATCTTTTCAGAGCATTTTTATAGTAATGGATAAATTGAGTGCAGGTATGCCTGGAGGAAGCCCATTCCTCCTTAAAAGGTACAGGGACATGCCAGAACCCAGCACATCACAATGACAACTGAAGCGCCCCCCCCC